TTGGACACCACTGCAGAGATGCTAATCTTGCTTGGCTTTTTTTTCATGTCGTGTTGATTGACTGTGAAATTTCTGGTTCAGAGAACCAGGCTTCCCAATTCGTTTCAGTCAAAGGAGTAGGAAGCAACATCTTCCCAAAAAGGAGCATCATGTTATGCTGCTCTTCTCTGCTCTGCTCTCCTGGAGGTGTTCAGAGGATGTGTAGATGTGGTGCTTAGGGATGTGGTTTAGTGGTAGACTTGGGAGTGCTAAGTTAATGGTTGGTCTTGATGAGACCTCTTGGAGGTCTTTTCCAACCTAAATGATTCTATGATTCCCTTACCCTGTGACTAACCTGCCAGAAAAAGTCAGTCACGGCCTTTGCTTGGGATCACAGCCAAATGAACCTGCCCCTTGAAAGGCAGAATTGTCCCTTGAGTTGCTGTGATATCTTTCCTTTGCTGAAGAACTGTGTGCCCCAGGGTTTTGTTTGTTTGCTTGTTTTTTTGTTTGTTTGTTTTTGTTTTAAATATGGGTGTTAGCTGTTATGGATGCATGTAGAAAACTGAAAATGTCAATTAGTTGTAAAGTGGCAGCACTAGTCTCAAGCTATTGATCATCTTTAATCTTGCCATCAGAAGTTCTGGGGATTCCCATGTCTGTGATTACAGGCTTTCTCTTTTTTTTTTTTCTGATCTTTGGCATTGAGGGAAACCTGATTCCCAGGCACCTGTCACATTGTTATATTTTTTTGTTTTGTTATAGCCTGCTTTGATGGTGGTGGTGGGTGGGGTTTTTTTCCATCTTTCCCCATAGTATTATTGATTTGGCTAGGATGGGTGCATTTTTCACATCTCTTTAGGACAAAAGCAGAGTTTTGGTTTTGGTCGAGATTACTGTTGAAACTCAGTTTGCAGCCAGAGGAAACTAAAAAGATATCATTATCAAGAACTGATAAGTGGAGGAAGGTCAGCCAGAAAGTAAATTATAGCTTTGTATAATTGCTGTTTAAAACTACTGAATAGTAATCATTCACTACAATTACCAATTATTCTCAGCTCTGAGCCACAACTACAAGAACAGAATAAATTAATGTAGAACAATATAGAGAGCATTTCTAAAAACAGGTTTAAAGTTCTGGATTCTCTCATTACAACTTTTCTAGATAAAAACAGAGTGAAATTAAACTAATTCTTGAATATTCCCATGCTACATGTGGCTCTGTTTTTTTAGCTAATGTACTGGTAGGACTGAAGAATGTGACACCTGGAATACAGCTGTAAAAATCAAAAGCGTGTCTAGGAGTTCTGAACCTATTTCAGAACCATCTGATGGAGCTACAATAGCCAAAGAAAAAAGGGCTTGGAAGAGTACAAACCAGATTGCATAATGCTCTCTCCCTTGCACTTTATTTGCATATGAATGCACTTCTTTCCCCTGCCTTCCATTACAAAAAAAAAAAAAGTCCTTTATTGCTAGCATATTGACCAAATCACACAAAGGAAGTATCTTGTTGACTCCTGAAGGTGAAGGTCTTTTCTTTCCACCACATTGTAGTATGCTCCTGAGTCTGAGAGTATGCTAAAGCTCGTTTCTTTCAGAACCTGTCAACGTTAAGGCATAATGCAATTCAAAAGTGGTACTTATTGCTTGATATCCTTTCTTGAAAAAAAAAAGATCTGGATTCTTGACTCAGAGACAAAATGAGATCTGTTTTACTTAGGCTGGAGTTACTTGTAACAGTCACAAATGTAAAACTAATCCTATCAAGTAAATTCTTACCTTGAATGCACTTTCTTCTTAAGAATTGGCCAGGAAAACACATATTTAATGTCCATTTGCCATTTATGGCAAGCATCTCATGACATTCTTAAAGAAACAAAATTTGAATTCACTTTTTTGAAAAGCAGGTTGCACAAAAAAAGGGGTTTTCTCTTACTGTCCTACAGCTCCAAGAAGCACCTGCATAAACTTAAAAGCAAGAAAACACAGTTTGAGGTTGGCTGCCTCTTTTGTGGTGTAAGCCAGTTAACATGCAGGAAGTATCACATTGGGTTTTATGTATAAGGATGATTAACAAGTACTGCTTTCTCTGAGGTCCATGCTTCACATTTAAGAGGACTTGGAAAAATCTTATTGTTGGCATATTCTAAAAAGAAATGCTTGATGCAGCTGTATTCCTAAGAAACATATAAGGGGAGCTGAAGCATGTAACTTCTATAGGTTTCTATTTCATAATACAGCCAGCATTCCAGACCTAAAAAATAATTCAGACAGAAATGTGTTCTGATTTAGAGTACAGATATGCAATTTCTCTAGATTCAGAGACTAATTATAAATAAAAAGGGCCTGTTGACTTAATACCATCTTTTTCAGTGTTTTGTTAATAATCCTGCTTCAAATGTGCATTAGAACTCATAATGATTCTCACCAGATGTCTTTTTGCTAGTCAGAAAAGACAATGCTAACTCAAAAGAACATTTTGCAATAAAAGCAAAATGGAAAATAAAACAGACACGAATAACATAGAAGAAAAATTGCATAGCAAGGGAGGGGAAAAAGCAATTAATTTGAAAAATGTACAACTGAAAATTAAAACATAGTTTGGCGAAGTTTTCTGTTTGGTAACTGTATTAAAGAGAACTGCTTGTCTTATTGAAGCAATAAAACAAAATGTTGTCTGTTTAGAAAATGACCTCTAACTTGCAGAAATATGTACAGAAATATGTATTTCAAAATGAAGATGAAATAATAGTTTGGAAGGAATTAAATTTATTCCAGTTTCTATCTTCTGTATGCATTTTTTTCTGAATTCTTTAGTCTTTTAATTGCACTGAGATGCACTGACAAAACATTCACTAGAATATTCACTATACCAGAATATTCACTATACTGTTTCGTTTGCTGTATGGTGTAGCATAAAAGCTATAATTCAAAAGCAAACCTTTCAGGGTGGTGTCAGGACAAGCTGCAGGTTTCCCAGTTAGTATGGACACAGTATTTTCACTTCCCTGATATAAGGTTTTAAGGAACTGTTAAAAAGCATCTCTGCCCTGAAGCTGAAAAAGCAGTTGTAGGATCACCAGCTGCTCTGGCCTTGGTTTATAGAAACTCTTTTAACAGAGCTTTGGAAAAATCAGTGGTCTGAGTAGTAATGTTTCCGTGATTTTTCATTTATTAAAAACTGTGAGGACAGGTATTGTTGTGCATGTTCTGAACAAGCACATCAGGATCTCTAGGGAACCTGCTTTGGCAGGGGGGGTTGGACCCAATGATCTCTTGAGGTCCCTTCCAACCCCTAAAATTCTGTGATTGTGTGATCTCACTTTGGAGCTGGTTCTATACAAGGGCTCCAAGAACCTAGTGCAGTTGTTTTGTGTGGATTTAACTGCAGATCTCTAGCCAAAGAGCTTTGTTCAGATGGTAGTGAGGCTTGGCTTCAAATACTGAAGGAGAACATTATGGTCATGCTGAAGCATACCTACACTGAAGCATGCATATTTGACGTAGATGAGGTTTGCAGCACAGAAGGACTGGAGAAAAGTAAAATCTTGTTTTGAAGCCATGTTTTGTCCCTTATATTGTATTCCAGAATCCCATAAAGTAAATTCAACAACATGTATTAAGACTACTGTAAAGTGTGGCCCCACATCTGACTTAAATCATATAACCTAACATGTTCTGTACAGTGCCCAATACTGCAGTCCTGCCACAAGAACCCTTACTTGTACACAAAATTTCAGTATTTAAACTCAGTTCTGGGATTTATATCATTATGACTGAAAGATTAATACTAATATTGTTACTATAATGCTATATTTCTATATTGTTGCAATACTATATTATTTTTTGCTCTAACTCTGATTGAAACATGGAATTGAAGGTCTGAAGCTCTGAATTTTTTAGCAGGGACTTTGGGAGCCTACACCTTGCAGTTGTGGTAATACATTGGGGTAGGATTAAAAGGGGAATGATTATTTCTTATGGAGTGGTAGTTGTCTAGAGAAATAATACCAAATGCATATATTGATTTTGAAAAATAGATAGAGTTGTTTTGAAATTATTATACAAAAGTCAATCAAACTACTTTTTCTGCAAAATTAAAATGTTTATGTATACATACTTGTGCATGTTTATGTAGTTACATAGCTTACCTAGTCACATAATTGTATTTATAGTTACATAGGTCTTAGCCATGATTTCAAACTCTCCTCTTACATGATTATGTTGCTGACCATGTTATGTTTTGATGATCATCTTATGTTCAGTTATGCATGTCTCCAAGACTGTTCTGTCCTACCTTTGTGCATGCTAAAGACTTTCATATTTATTACTGACAACTGAAGGATACTTCTTTTTTGTCTGATTTCTTTAATTCTAACTCATAAAATGCTTATTTAAAATGTGTGGGACAAATACTCTTTGCACATAAGCTAGGGGAATCTGTTGAGACAATACTTTGTAAGATGTCTGTTTTGCTGTTTTAAGGATTGCTGTAATCTTTGAATATGCCTTGTTATGCTATTATTTGGTCAACTTTTATTCATTAGGCTTGATTTGAGAGCAAAAGAACATATATTAGAATTATACTTTAAAATAAATATAATCTTGTTTCTTCAGCATCTCAGCCAGTTTCTTCCTGTCTTTTGGAAGAAACTGGAATCATTTTAAATTACAGGGTTTCTTTGTTGAAGTTCAGCTGCCTTTTCACTTTTTTTTTTTTTTCTGTAGCATGCTAGACTGGAAATCCTTCACTTTTTTTTGATGGAAAATTCTATTCTTGTTTTCTGCTGCTGGATGCTTTGATACCAGATATAATGAAGAGGTTTCCTTTTTTTTTCTGTCTCCTTAAAGTTTAATGTTTTTAATATATGTGTTGATTAGTACAGCCTCTTCCACACATTGTACTGTAGTTATGAACTTTAATCCTTTTAATGGGAAAGTTTCTAATTTAAGTGTTTTTTCCAAAGGAGAAACCTTTTCACATTTTTGATGTTTTCCTGTTTCTTTCATATCTTTAGCCAACAAGAACACTAGTTATGACGAGTATGTCTTCTGAGTAAGTATTAAACATTTTGACTCTTTAGTCAGCATGCAGTTAAACTTAAGTGTTGATAATCTTTTGATGCTTATAAAAAATGAAAATCATCTTTTGGACATGTGTTAAAATTTTATTCTGTTATTCTGGCACGTGCATACCTATGTGTGTCATTGCTATCTACATTGTGTAGGGACGTATGCGTGTTTGTGTTCTTATGGTGCAGACTGAATTGTTCCATAGGTGAGCTCAACAGGGTTTCAGAGTTGTAAAATCATAATATTAACCAAGTTTTGAATTTTTCTGAAACATGAAAATTAGAGTTTTATGTAGTGAAGGATTCAGGCTTCTAGGCCAAGACTTAGTCTTTTCCCCATATGCTCTATTTCTTTAAAAAAAAAAATAAATTAAAATTAAAAAATAATAATTATTAAAAAAGAAGATTTGAAACATCAGTTTAAAATGTTTTCTTTTATATAAATAGTTGCTGAAGAAAGTTGCTGAAAAGCCATTCCAGGCTTTTTAGCCACTTAGTTTCAAAACATTAGAAGCAGCTGCCACTGCATATTTGGGAAGAGTTAATATTTTTCTGGCGTGCTCTTATCATTCTCTTAAAACTCTTAAAGCATAAAGACATCCAAGAAAAACACAAATCCATATTTTATACTATATTTGCTTACAGTTTTTTAAACTGTTTTTCAAAACTCAGGATATTTCTACTACCCTCAAATCTGTTTCAGGATTGAAGTAATTAAATCATGACAGTTGCATAGCAAGCACTCAGAAACAGCACTTAGTGGCTGTACTTTTAGAAATTCTTTGTAAATGGTTGTCAATAGCAATTAACAAATATACTACTATATAGGTCAGAAAGGCAAAATGGTAGTAGTATTTTCCTTGTATTTAATGTGAGTAGATGCAGATAACACCAAGACTGTAAATATACTTTGCTAGTCATGCAGTACAGGATCACTGCAAGGGAGGGAAAGATAATAACTTCAGTGCAGAAAAGGGTAGTGGAAAACAGAGGCTGTGATGTGCCTAAAAGAAGAGAACAGATCCTGGCAGCTGGGTAGAAAATTTCTTTTGTTGAAAGAGGTCATTAATGTTATTTATTTTCTGTTAACATATGTTGACTTTTCTAAAAATAAATAAATAAAATAAATTAAAAATAAAATACTGTTTCATAAAATAAAAGTATCTGGTGATTAAAATTTGCTGTTCTTCAGAACTTTTTCATTAAGATTGTTCTTTTGGCTCTCTACAGTTGTAGGGATTCATCAACCTGTAAGCAGGTGGAAGGAAGGACACTGTTTCTGAAAGAACTAAAAAGCAGAAAATAGTCTTCCAAAGGGCAGCCCAGTGGCCAAAATCCCATTCTACTACTCAGTAACTACAGCTACAAAAGTAGTTCCTTTGAAATTAAATGTCAAGATGCATGAATTCAGTGGTTTCACGGCATTGGGTTTTGTGATGATATTAAATGCTGCTCACAGCCCGTAGCTACTTGTTTTTCTCAGTCTCAAATTCAGTGAAATTTTGCTGTAAATTTGCATCCAGTTTTTTTCTTATTGGAAGTTTTTTTCACCTGACCAATATATAAACTAGTGAGTTTTCAGTGTAACTTAAAAGATATTATGCACATAGCCAAGTCCAGAGTTCACAGTAACCAGTGGCAGGATTTAGGCAGTTAATCAGTGGTTCCATTTCTAAGTGTGTCCACATACACTTTTGACTTGTATAATTAGCAATCCTGTTTGTTTTTACTATTCCTTTATTTGTTTGAAATTTCTTGGGGGAAAAAAAAAAAAATCAACAAAGCTAATTGCTGCCTTCTTTGTGAAGAATGTTTCACAAGTTTTGTTAGAATTACTCTAAGTAATATTTTCTTTAGCTGGGATATTTGGGGAATTACAATTGAATTACTTTCTGTGAAGTGAAATGTAGTGAGAATGAAGCAATCCCAGAGTCTTCAGGAGATGTTCTGACTGCTTGTGTTATGTCAGTAATTAATTTCAATGTTTTACCTTAGAAGATCATCACTGAGATATATAAGACTTTGTTCAAGGTTGTGCTTAAATTTTTGTCTTATGTAGCATGCCATAGACGTTTCCAAGAAGTCAGCTGAGGGGAGTAGAGAAGGCACTGGAACCAGGCTTTTCTCTGCAGATCTTTACTGTTCATTTATAACAATGATCACAAATGAGAACAGTATGTTCTTATGCAACAGCTTTTCTCTAGAGATACCAAGATCTCACTGTTTTCATGAAGATGTATTCATGTGCTTCAGTGTAGCTATGTAGAGAACTCAACTTAAAATTCCACTTGTAGGTGGCCATTCTGTATTTTATACACAGTCCATAAGGTGGCAGTTTTATTTAAGGGTAACTGTATTTTTAATTGAAATATTGACTCAGATATAGTGTAGGTAGCAAGAGAGAACTTTAAGACTTCTCTCTAAATTTAAACATAGCATTTTATTCAAATGATGAAAATCTGATACTTCCTAATGACATCCTCTGAAGAGTGCTGTGTCTAACTGTTTACATTTCTTACTAACACTTTTTTGATAGTACTGCAGAAGCAACCAAGAACAAAGCTCTGTTGTACTGGGCATTATACACAAACAGTATGTTAGATAATTCCTAACTCAAAAAGCTTTCATTTAAACAAACGAGATAGATGTGGGGTACAAATGAGCTTTGATATGCAAGTAGATATGATTGTGTGCTGACAAAAAAAAGGTCTGTTTGGATTCTGTGGAAAGGCTAATAAATTTTGGGTTAGTAAATGGATAGAGGCTGAGGGATAAAAGGATAAGAAATGATTGGTGAGGAAAGAAAAGAGGTGGACATGTAAGAAAACTTGAGTTAATTTGTTTTGTGTATATATGCTTGTATAATCATACATATCCATTCAACATGTCTTTTTTTCCTTCTGTTCTTTTTAGGGAACAAAATACAGTAATTCAGGTGGTGAACAAACTTGGAGACTTCTTGTTCTCAGATGTTGTATGTGAAACAACAAGTCATGTAGTTACAGGGAGTCCTCGTCGTACCTTGAATGTTATGTTGGGAATTGCTCGGGGGTGTTGGATTGTTTCTTATGAATGGGTAAGAAATATACATTTTTAGGACAAAATAAGTTTAATTTATTTTGTATAGCTGAAATATCAACCGTGTTTATGTCCACGCTATGTGCAGTGTTCAGATACTCAAGCTTCCATAAAGAGTTCGCTCAATTATAGGTAACTTGTCTGTTTGAAGCTCTGCGTTACCCTGAATACTGTCTTTCAGTACTTATTCTAACCACTGTATTTGTGTACTGCACCTCAGTGTATATTTTAGAAATGCTTGAAGACTCTTCATCTCATGACAAATGCATTATTTTGGACAGATTAGAGGATAAACAAAGCATTTCTGCTCAATGTTAGCCAAGTTATTTTATTCAGTTTGAATTTTTGTGTACTATTTTAATACACTTCTATTTTGTCCTTAAATATGTATTGTGTTCAGAACTGGTTAATAAAAATAAGAGGAAGTTATTAGATATTTTGCTGCATTGTGGGAAAACGTTGTTTTGTTTGGTTTTGTTTAAAAAAAAAAAAATAAAGGAAACGTCGTAGATGAGTAGTTTGGACATTTTGTAATTTACAGAAATAATTCCCAGATGCCCAGATCAAATAAACATTGTATTTCCTCAAAATTTCTTGTGGACTACCACATAAAGTTACCAGACTGTTACTGTAAAGAGAAGATAATCATGAATTGCTGTACTGGGTTTAGCTTGGGTGGAATTATGTAATTTTCCTCATAGCAGCCCATATGGTGTTGTGTTTTAGACTGGTGACCAAGGCAGTGTTGGTAACGCAACAGTGTTTTAACTGAACAGTGCTTGCACAGCATTAAGGCCTTCTCTGGCTTTTCAGTTATCCCCACCAACATGTAGTTTGGGAGCAAAGAAGCCAAGAAAGCTGACCCAGCCTGACCAAATGGATATTCCATGCCATACATGTATCATGCTCAGCTGGGGGGAAGTTTTCCCAAAGTAGCTATTGCTCAAAGACTGTCTGGGCATCAACATGCTCATGCATAACTTGTATTTTTGCAGCGCTTGTTTTTGATTTTTTTTACTTCCTTTTTTCTTCTTCACTTACTAAACTGTCTTTATCTTGACTTATGATGTTTTTTTCTTGCATTTGCCCTTCTGATTCTCTCCCCCATCTTGCTGGGGGCTGGAGACTGAGCAGCAACTGGATGGGGGCTTACCTGCCAGTCAGGATCAAACCATCTCAATTGCTCACTATGATTATAGAGATCCACTGCAAGCCAGTTAATCTGGCATAACAGAAGGCAAATCTTCACCTTTCCTCATGTTTCCAGATCTGTAAAACATTAACGTTGCAAGTTACATGGAAGTATAAATTCATCTACAGTAGAGAGTTGTAGAATAACTTATTTATTATTTCTTCTTTTTCTTTTTTTTTAATAAATTATTTAAAATTTATTTGTTAGTCTGAAAACAAAATGATCTATTACCTTTTTGTTTTCAATATGTATGGCACTTACTCATGTTAAAAAAAAAAAAAAGCTTCTCCTATATATTATATATCTTAAAGAAGCTGTTATGGTATCCTTTGAGGTTTTAAGAAGTTGAAGCTTTTGATAATTAATTTTCCGTTGAAAAAAAAGGTATTGTATCTTAGGTCATCCTAATGAGCCAACAGTGTGTCTTTTTGGGGAAAAAAAAGACCATCTTTGGCTGCGTTAAGAACAAACTTGAGAAAAGGGGTCTAACTAGACAATCTGGTTAAAAATATGCCTTATGACATATGACAATTCTTGTCTTATTTCTAATTGTTTGCATAGCTTTTCCATCTTTTTACCCAGAGTAGTTGACTGAACACTTTAATCAAAGGAACTATGAGGATTTCTGCAGAAAGCGAGTCAGGGGAATTCCATTTAAGCAAAATAATCTTTTCCTTTTTATAATACTAAAACACTCAATCCTTTAAATGCCTTTCTATACTGTAGCTAATCCTACCATAAGTCCTCTCATTGGTAAAATACTTCAGATTGGATTCTTAAAATAATCAGTCTGTTTGGAGAAATAATTAGTAGTTTTAAAACAAGACATTTTTTTCAACAGAGGTAATTGTCTTGCAGAAGACCTTCCTTAAAATTTAAAGTAACTGGAATATTATTTTTTTTTTCCTTTTTCCTTCATTTTTTTTTTCTTTTTTTTTTTCTTTTTCTTTCTTTTTTTCTTTTTTCATTGCCTTTTGACTTGTAACATAGAGGAAGAATTTAGGCATTTAGCCTGCTTTTTCTTTATTTTTTTTTTTCCCTGAAAAATCTTAAAATGGTCTTTTTAAATACAATTGTTGGAGAGCTATCAAATTTATCATTAGGCATTTAATCTTTTTAATACTTCCTTTACGTATATTTCAAGATGAATTATTCAAGTATATAAGATGTATATAAGACGATTCAGTGTGCTAGTGGGAGGCCTTAAATAATGACTAGTCAAACACTGTTTTCAGACCCTTAAGAACTTAATGTTTGACATAAATTTTCCTATATGGTGTGGATAAGAGAACAACCTGATTTGCTGAGGAAAATTTGGCAGCAATGCTGACCTTGTAGCTCTAAAACCTGCAGGACACTTCATGGTGTTCCATGACATTCAAGTTGCCTGCTACTGAGTTAAATAAAATAGTCCATGCTTGATTAAAAAAAAATAAAAAATAAAAATTAAAATCAAATTAGGTAATAGAAGATTGGATTCCAGACTCTTTTTAATCAAAGAAAAGGTAAACATTTTTTAAGAGTATAAAAAGTCCACAGAATAAACCATGCCTTTCCACTTTCTTCTTCCCTCCTTATTTCCTCCTTTCTTGTGTTCTCTAATCAGCAAGACTGCATTCTACTAGCATTGAAATTAAGTATGTGTCAGATGTTATTACTTATTCTTTCATAACTTCCAATATTTCTATATCCAGCACAGTTGGATATGCTGTGCTGCTTTACCATAACTTTTTAAGTTACATTTTCTTTTGTAACCGTGTATTAGAAAACTTCTAGACAGCTCTTTCTTTTCAATATATACACTTATATTTTTAAGTATTACAACTTTTCTTAATTCCTTTCCACTACTGAAGGAACAGTTGAATAAGAACACATAATGGCTTAACAATAAAAAGTAGTTTTCTCAAGAATAATATTATAAGTCATCGCTTGTTTTTGTCCTACGTGAATTTGAAGCATTTTTTTCCTATTGCAATGAAAATACAGTGGTTGAAAATTGGTCTTTGCTGCAGTCAAAAACAAATTTTTTGCAACTTAAAATGGAGAGTTCTTGCTTTTGTGTCACTGAAAACTGAATATTGTAGTGAGTGGTGACTTAATTATTTACTGCAGGACCTCTTCATGAACCCTGTATCTAATTTACTTTTTATCTAGGAAAGTAGATATGACTCCTTTGTACTCAATTCCAGAGCCATGATAGACAAGCATTAATCCATCTTCTGTTAAGATAAACAAAATTCAATTCTAAACAAAATTCTGTAAATACTACACGATTGATAGACGTTATTACTGTAAAATTGGCCTGGAAATCAAATGGGATTACTTAATCATAACTAATCTTTTGGGTTTATGTTTTAATTTATTTGTTTTGTTTGCCAATTACTCTTGGTACAAACATCATTTTGGTGCTATATGGACATGATGTACATGATACAGAATATGGTACATCTGTCTTGGCTCAAGATTATTTGTGAAAAAAATATTTTCATGCAGCACATCTCTAAGAATTGTATTAAAAATTGCAGTTTTCTTGTTTCAGTTAAAGTTGATTTATATTGTCATTAAAAGAACTGTCTTGGATTAACAGGTTTATTTGCAATAAATGTATACAGCTATAAGTATATAGCTAACAGATTTCAATAATGTCATTGTAAATTGTAAACAAGTAATTGTAAAAGTATACAAAAGTATCACCTTAAAATTTATAACTTAAAATCTTAAGTTGCCGTCTTAATTGAATGGTTTTTAGTAAGTTGTTGTACTTTACTTGGCTAAACACAGCAATGCTTTACATTTAGAATTATTTTAAAGTTGATTGACTTATTAATGTACTTAACTGATGTTTAGGCTTGGTATGCTATAATAGCTATAAAAATTATTTTCTCTGTACAGCTGTTGCATTTTCAAATATTTAGTTTTATGTCTTATAAAAGTAAACATAATATCTTTTGGTTTTGTAATAATGAAGTTCAACAATAAGTATGAAGATACGCCACTTTTCATTATCAACAAAAAATTGCTGTCCACTAACAACAGCCCACAAAAATGAACACCTCTGCTCCTCACTCAAGTAAATACTATTTTCCATATTATGCAAAGCATCAGCTTTTGCAGCAGTTTTCATAAGAGATTGCTGGTTCCCCTGAAAGTTGTCAAGCAAAAGCTACTTCAGACGACAGACTATAGAATTTGTTTCTGATAATGCTAAGATTGCTTTCTAAATTGTTTGCATTTTGCTTCCAGTAGCACAAGAATGGGCAAAAGAACTCTTTATAGAAAGTTAAGAGATGGACTAATTGTATGTGGGAAAATAAGATTTACATTAATAGCTTATTATCAGTCTGTTTAGTTTATAATCTTGTTTCATTTTGTGATCTGTAACATGGTAAAGGATAAACATTTCATGCTTATTATGTATTATGCCAATTTTTGTCCAAGGGAACATCTTACAATACTGCTTATGAAGTTTTATGAATAAAGTAATTTAAATGAAAACTAATAATATATGGATTTAAAAACAACTTTATCCAAAATAATTTTTTAGCAAACAATAAAAATCAGCTGTGAATCAAGCATGATGGTACTTTCATGTACTGGTGAAATTCAGATTGTTCTAAGGTGAATAATGGCAACAGTTGATGGTGGTGGATGGCTACAATAACAGTGAGAAACAGACATAATATATTTGAAAAGTCTGGAGAACCATATAGGCAAAATGTGATTGCAAGAGGTAAATGATCCTAAATGTAGAGATTTACTTTCTAACAAAATCCATATATCCCATTTTGGAGATTGTATATATATATACCTCTTGTTAACTTAATACTACCTGTTGCTGTAGGAGCAGCAAAGTATTGGGTGCATATGTTTTTAAGGTTGAGTGTATGAACTCTGCTGTCTGTCACTAGTGGGTAATGATGCTTTTTTGACTCAATGAAGTCTTGCCAAGTGATAATTACAGGAAGTACCTTGCAAAGTTCAAATATCTGTGAAAGGAGAAAGTTATTGAATTGTGTGATTGTGGAAAACTTCCAAAGAGCTTACCAGTCTTTTACATATGTGGGAAACTATATGGCTCAGCTCACACTCATGAAGTCATTGAGGAAAATAAACTTATGATGAACAGAGGTTCATCAACATGTCTTTCAGAATTTAAACTATCTAGAAATTAGCAGCAAAACATCTTTTATATGACTTACGGGCAGCCCCATGGTAGGAACTTTGGTCCCATAAGGATGATGCATTTACCAGTTAAGCGAGTCTCTGAACACTCCTTATGAGGATTTAAAATTATGGCTAAATTATGTAAAATTAGGTCTACCGGCTGCAACTTATAATGATTTTTTTTTTTCAAGAATGGCATAGAAAATCAACCTACAGAAAGTGCTGGATGGAATATTTTTAGATTTTTTTTTTGGAAAAGTACACTTCAGAAGTTGAAAATACACCTATTTGAAGTAGTATATAAAGGACACTTAGAGTAAAATCATAGTTCAAACACTATGTTCATTTGCTCATCGTAACAATAGAAAGTAATTTCTGTGACAGGCAGAGGAAATATTTCAGTTTTCAATATGTAAAAATGCGGAGTCCCTATGTAGCCAAAGATATCCCTGAACATTTGAAGTACTCTTTGATTATCCGTTTTGTGATGGCCCTGATGGGAACAGAAGTCTGAAAGTTGTCCAGTGTCAGGATCACAAGTCTGCAAGGATCATATCCATCCAGGATTTTGGAGCTCAGCTGAACACAAATGATCATGTAGTTTCTAGACAGTCAGTACTCTGCTCTGTTAGCAACATTTTTTGTGATCTATGATGTACAGTTGGCAGAAGAGGATACCTAAGAGAATCAGAGCTTTTCATCATTGCAGGCTGACATGTATTATATATAATAGTTTCATAATCCCAGACAGTTGTAGGAGTTGATAATAAGTCCAGTATTGTTCAAAATCTTCATTTATGATCTGGCTGATGGGACAGAGGGCAGCCTCAACAAACTTCCAGATAATACAAAATCGGGAGAAGTGTTTAATACACCCGATGGGTGTGCCCATTCAGAGGGATCTTGACAGGCTGGAAAAATGAAGTTCAATAATGAACTGAATCAAGAGATCAGAACTGATATAATATGGCAATTGTTGATGTTCTTCCCTTTTGACTGCCTGTTTAATTTTATTCCAGTACCACAATGCAAAAAGTAGACTCTTTTAATATCCTTGTAAGATTTTGAAAATGAACGTGGCCATGCATAGAAATATGACAGGTATTTTAATGGTTTGTTTTATTTGTAAAATTTGTACTTTTCAGATTGCTTGATTTTCTTAAATTTTTATTTTTTTTTTTTAGAGAATCATTTGGTTTGGGTAAATGAAATATCAGACCAAGTATTGTAACTGCACTGCTGGTTCTAATTACACATTCAAGTATTTTGCTATTTTAGAAATTATAAAAGTTCTGCATATGATTTCATTTATTTTAGGTTCTGTGGTCTTTCGAAGCTGGCCATTGGATCTCAGAGGAACCATATGAACTTTCATCCAACTTCCCTGCGGCTCCTGTAAGTTTGATTGCCCTTTAAACTTTTAAACACACTTTTATCTGAAAAATTATTGACCCTATACAAAGGTATAATGATCATGAATGCTATGAAGAAAAAACATATTTGTTAAAGAATATACTATAAGGAGTTATTTTCTCCTTCATCTACTAATTTTTGAAGTGTATATAACAACTAACTTCTGAAACTTATGCAAAACATTACACAGAAGGTGCAAAAGGTCAATTCACCAATTAACAATGGAATAAACTAACATCTTGCCTAAATATAAATATACTTTAATTTACTTGTGGCATATCTAATTTCTACCCACACATATATATACTGGAAAGGCACGTTATTGTCTAGTGAGAAGATGTGTCACATCATGGTGTCAATATTTTCAGTCTGAAAATAGCTTTTGGAATGTAAAATTACTGTGGACTTCTAACACTATTTAGTAGGTAAAATGAAGCATTTGTCCCTTCTTTAATGATCATTGCTGAGCTCAAGTACTGAGTTGCAAACTAACACAAAAGTGCATTTGTGGAGGCATGGTATATCTGTGCAGATCTAAATATCTGCATTCCATGTGTTGTAACTGTTTAAATGCTAATTTCATTTTGGATTTAAAATACTCCAGCATGTTGCTGGTTGATTACTCCAATAGTTTTGTGAAAAAGGTTTCACAATTTCTCTTACACTGAAGCTAGATAAATATATTCTTATCCGTTACTCGTTTCTCAAAGTTTCTTACAGGTTTTGAGCACAGAACATTTAATGGAGGTTGAACTTTATTTTTACCATAGTTGTACTGACTGTTAAGGGGTCATTTTTAACTTTCCTTCTAAATCCATAGTTTATGTAAACTGACTTGTTCAAGACAAAGACTTGATTTTAGGCTCCATGATTTTAAGCTATAATTTCCCAAAGTGAAGAGACACTGTAACATTTTTTTTTTCTGAAACAAGTTCCAAGAAATCAATCATTCATTATAAAGTAGTATTTTTTCCCTAAAGGCGGGAAGCAAACTTTTAATATAACAAATACTTTAATGGCAATGCTTCATGTGAAAAAGAAACAGGCATGTCCTTTTTTTTTTCTGTATTTGTACAAGAAAAAACAAAACAAAACAAAAAAAAAACACCCTACCACAGTACTTCAGATCAAGCTGCTTTGAGTGTCTTCTCAGACAACCTTGTCTAATAACCAAGTATGCTATCAGTAACAACTCACATAGCATTCTTGGGAAGTGATTCCTGCTGGTGTTGTTTTTTAGATTCTGTTTACAGTTTTTGTTCCCAATGTAGATCTAGGAGGAGTGGAGAGATGATGAGGAGATAAAATGGAGGAGGCATGGTTGTGCTGAGAAACTTGTTTGCAGGGTGCTTCTTCAGCAAACAAAGTCGGTGTTGAAAGTGATATTTCTGTCATCTTTCCATTCTTGGGTCATTCTTGTGTTTTACTGTAGATAGTGTAGATACCTCATAGTTAAAGATAGAATTTTTGTTTGAGTATGAATGGAGTTTACCTTTCTTTTCTTGTTATTTCTTCTCTGCTTCCTAATGGGCATTAGAGAAAATGGAAGGGCATTCTACTTTTATGTACTGGTTATTTTTACATTACAGGAAGGAATCTAAAGGGAGTTACATTATCACTGTGTTTTAATTATTTGTATTAAACCAAAGGAATGGTTGCAGCCTTCTTTTTCCTATTGCATTCAGTCTGAATTGCCTTCCTCTCACTTCACTTTGCTGTTTGCAGCTTAATCCATGCAGTCTCATTTAGATAATGAGATCATTTAAAACAGATTCACTCTATAATTTTACATTCATGTTGATGATGAACTCCATGTTAAAAAATCATTTAACAATTGATCTGTTAAATGTCTATCACGGTATCATTAATCATTTTCCTGGAATAGTCATCAGAAAGAGCCTTTTGCTTTATAAAAGCTTTTTCTTTTCCCAGCAAATTGAAAGTAGCCATGCACTTTCTATCGTAGAATGGCTAGAGTAGTGTTTGTGTTTTCTTATTAAAATAATGAACGTTATTATCAACCAGAAGTTGGCACTATTTTTCTTTGCTAGGTAAGTATTCATATTGTACAAGATTCAATCAATTTTTAAGAAGCCTTTTTCAGATTATTGGATTGGATTATTATTGGATTATATATATTTACTATCAGAAATGTTGGGAGTATTTTATTTATCTGATTAAATGCGATGAAGGAGGAAATATGCTATTTCTATTCAATTTCATATAATCATAAAATATCTTAAGTCAGAAAGTACCTGTGAAGGTTTTAGTACCTGGCTCCAAGCAGATCTAATTAGATCAGGATACTAAGGGATTTTTCAGGTCCACCTTCATGCTGATAAATAAAAATCCAACTATCTAAGTGGAATTTCCCAAATTCCAATTTGTGTTCATTGCTTATTGTTCCACTGCAGTGCACCTCCAGGTAGGGTCTGCCTCTGTCTTCTGTGTCAGGATGTTGTAAACAACAGTAAGGTCTCCCTTTTTTCTTGTCTTGTCCAGGCTGAAAAAAAAAGGCCTTCTCTCCCAAACTCTCTCTGTACATCATGTGCTTCAAACCCTTTACTATATTGGTAGTCTTCTACCAGACTAAAGACATGTAGAAATTCATGAAAGTAATTTTGTGAAGTATTCTTTTTAATTTGGTGTATCTTTACAAGTTTCCTACGAGAAAAAATAAATTACTTAGAGTAATCTTAAATATATTGAAATTGTACTGTACAACTCTTCAGATGATGACTTAATTTACATTATTTATTTATTTATTTTTATGTTTATTTAAAATCAGGTCATGAAGTAATATTTAGAAGTATTTTTTGTCTCTAATGCTCTTCAGTGATGCTGACATGTATTTTCAGCAAAGAACGGTGGTGTTGTAAATGGTAGGGTAGTCCAACAGAGTTTTAATGACTGCCAGTTTGAAATGAAAAGTTTACTTCTATCTTTCTCAAAATCATTTACTGTTTTTAAGATACAATGCCTTTTATTATGCAAGCCTCCAGAAATCTTGTGTCTGGGCTTTTTGCTTTGTTTTGGTATGAGGTATTTTAGCTAATGGTATGAGGTCTTGTAGCTAATTCAGTCAGCTGCTGAAATTAAAAATTTATAAAATTATTACTTTAAAGCAAAGACTAAGCATGAGAATTAAATTATGTAATTAAAAAAAAAAAAAGTCAAAAATTACCTGGTAGAGTCATTTATTCACATTGTGTCATACACTGAGGGCCTACCTTCTTCATGAAAAATTTTGAGGGAGAACCTTACTGTAAAAAAAATAATAATAATAATAATAATAAAATTATAGTATGACCTTTGGTAACTTACAGATTTCCCCCCCCCCCTTTTTTTTTTTTTTTCCAAAACTTATTTCTTTAAGTCACAGGCATAAATTGAATTTCATCAAATAACATGCATATGGTTTTTAAGATAGGTTATTTTTACAAAATATTTAGATGGAATACGGCACCATGACTGATTGTCATAGACAACTAGACATCTGGTGTTAATGCTGTTGTCTCAGTTTATAAAACACTGGTCAGTTATTTTACAGGTAAATGACAAGGTAATAAAAAAGTGCAATTTTCATAACAATGTAAAGAAACACTATAATTTGCAGGGATTTTTGTAACTTAAAGATAGTGACTGTAATACGTGCAAACTGAAAGAAATGGTGTTTTTTGTACATGGTATTTCTCAAGAATAAATGCAAAGTACTTAAATGCTATTCGTCCTCTGTTAAATAAAGTAATACAGGCTGTTGGGAAAAAAATGAATAAGTGTAAGAAATTGTTTAGGAGGTTATGGGGGAAAGAATGTAATAACTACAGTATTGAGCTAATTACAGAATATAATTTCTATGTACATAACGGCAAACAGGCACACAGATAAATAGTTCTAGACCTAGTTAAGTGTTTTATATTAGAGTAATGTTTGAAGTTCAGTGATGAGGCAAAATACATATTGCTAAAACTAGTTTAGATATTTTTCACAGTTCCAGTTATTTACTAACACATACATAACATAAATGATCGGTAAAAGACAGTCCTTCAGTTGTCTGACAGTTTCTTGGATATTCTTTTTATTCAGTCATTTGGCCAAATAACTGTTATATCATGTTGATGCTTTAGACTTTGTGTCTAGTTGAATAATATGAGCTTTAGTGGATCAAGGCTATTGCAATTCAAGGATTGGAATGAACTGATCCCTTCAGAACATTAGCGCATGTTTTCTGGGCTTGAAAATGAGACAAGTTGCAGATGTGTTTATATGCTTGGCAAATGAAGTCTTTGAAGACTATACAATACATAATTCACATAAGAATGCAAAAGCATTTAAAAATCTGCTGGTCGAATCATCATAGTCGTGGCTTTGAGAGAGTATCCTGAGCCTTTCCAGTAGTACCACTTAATACCGTTGAACTTGTTGTTGTTCTGTCGTAATGGGTAATACATTCCATTGAGGTTTGAAGGACCACATGCATCAAACCACCACCCTGCAAGATCAGAAAACAAAGGAAAATGTCAGCAGATGAAAAATATCTGCACAAATAATTTTCCAAATAGTATATATGAAGACTTTAAACTCTTTTTTGTCCCCAAATGAGAAACAAATCTAAAACCAGTTTCTTGTTCCCCTGGTTTGAAAGTGTCAATATAAAATATTTGCCTCCAACCCAGTAAGGAAAGGTATTTGGGTATTAACTACATGTTCTTAAAGTTTATGTAATCCTTTGGAGTTTAAAGTTGCATAGAGAAGACACTGAAGCTATGTTAATTAATTATCAATATTAAATTATATTGACTATCTGAGGGCAAAACTTTATTTAAAGTGTAATGATATTGAGTTGTCTTTGCTTTTCATCTTCTCTTTTGTACATTCCTGTTCTTTGCAGATTTAAATTCCCTTTTCAGTTGTTTTTAGAGGATTAATTCAGCTATCTGTTTTAGTTCTGTGTGCAGATAATATCAAAAAACTGTGTTGAT